TTTTGACCCTTAACTTCAAAATTTTTTGTTCAAAATCAAAAAGCAAAATTTTGGGGACTAAACTAACTAAAACTTGTTCTTAGGCAAAAAAACAAAAATTGGGTAGAATTCTTGGATTAAAACATATTTAATCCTTTATAACATATGTGCTTTTAAAATTTTCACTAGCTAGTATAAAATAGTGATTTTATGACAACATTCTACGTTGGTTCTAATCAACTAGACACAAAATGTTGAATAGTGATAAACTTGTAATATTTGCAAACCTTTTTAGGTTTAGTGTTCTTTTAAATAGATAGTACATTCTATGTTGTGTAACAATACACCTGACATAAAATGTGAGGTGCAGTAGCTCAATTGTAATTTTCATTAGTGTTCTTACCGGAGATCGGTGGTAGGGACGATCTGCTGGGTAAGAATGGCGAGCCTCCTTCACGGGTACGTCTCGTGTTCCAAGATGGGGGTGGTACCTGCAAAAGAGACTCCGATGCTAAAGTTAGTGTTTGTGGGAGTATTAGTCTCGTATAAGTAATGCACGTACCTTGATGTGAATTAGGGTTTCGTTGGGCCTTGTGCCTGAGATCAGTTATGATCTGATTAGATAGCGGATCTCGTCTCGACCGCGATCTCCCAGCGCATGTCCGAGGTCGTCCTATGCTGTGATACCGAGCTCGAGCTCGGCATGGCGGTACGGATAGTACAATAGCCCCCCAAGCTCCGAAGACCGCAGGTCGAGGAGTTGAAACCGAGCTCGTCAAGGGGTCGTGACCTTTCGCGTACGCCTGCCTGTCGAGATGCCCTGTGTCACAACTGTCATTTCTCGAAAACGTGCAGGCGGCGCGTTAATGGGAGTGACAGTTATGCAATGATGGTTTGCATTCGTCATAATGGTCTTCAATTAATGTGTCGTCAGGTGTGCACCCTGACCAACACGTGTCATGACCGTTTTGAATTTTGGAAAACCTTTTTCTCTCTCTCGTGCCCTTTCCCCTTTCACTTTACTCATTTTCGTTCTCTTTCTTCCTTGGCTTCTTGTGTACGCCGATTTCTGCGTCTTAGCTTTCGCCATCTCCGTCGAGGTTTTCTCTGTCTCTGTTCTTCTTCGTCGCCTTCTCCGACAACTGAGTTTCGTTGTCTGATTTTCGTTCTTGTTCTTTGTTTGCCAAAAGAGTACCAGGTACTTCTATTTCTTTAACTTCTCCTTCTTCTAAGATCTCTTCCATTTCTTGATGGCTGGAGAGAGGGGTGCTGCATCTTCTGCGCCTGCCAGAGGTAAGGGCAAGGCGCGCGGCAAGGCGGTGGCTGCTAGGGCGGCCGCTGCTGAAAAGATGAATCTTCCTAAGGACCTCGTTCCAGGTATCCCTGGCTACGACTGGGTCAGGCGTGATGTGGGGGAGTTCCAGAGTGTGTTCAGGTCCTTTCTTGAGGTCAATGCGGTCTGGAGGTCGCACAGGATCTGCGACCCTTCCATCTCCTAGATGATTCGGCTTGAACCATGTCAGGCCGATGAGCGTGTGTACATGGGGAGTTCTACAGTCCCTCCCCATTTCTATGTCTATCAGTGTTTCTTTAGGGATTTAGGTGTCTGCCTCCCTTTCACTCAATTTGAGTGCGATTTTCTGAACTTTATCAATTCGGCTCCTTGCAAGTTGCACCCAAATAGTTAGGGTTTTTTGCGGGCTTTTCAAGTCTTGTGTTCAGTTCTCGGGATAGGGGTGTCTCTTCCTGTTTTTCTCCATTTTTACCAGCTGAAAATAGGGGTTCCTCCTTATGGCTTACTGTCTCTGAGTGGGAGTAAGGATGGGGGTCTGTTTACCCTTTACTCCCAATCATATAAAAATTTTAAACAAGAATTCTTCCGGGTGGAGCTTGTGGACGTCGACCCGTTGGAGGATGGGGCGTTCGACTTCGGCGAGTTGCCAAAGTTTTCCTTCTACTGGCGGCAAACCCCGACTAGATTTCACGGGGAAGGGAAATTACAAGTGACGGCGGCAGAGTCGGCCGCCATTAAAAATCTTGAAGCGCTTCCTCGCCCGCTGGATTGCAAGCTCGTCTTGTCGCTTGCGAACTCGGCGTACAAGGAGAGGGGCTTAGAGAGTGAGTATCCTGTTTCTCTTAGCTTGTTGAGGTTTGTAGAAGCTTATTTTGCTGATGTGTCTGTTCTTTCTGTTTCCAGGCATAATGGGCAGAAACAAGTGGCGCGAGCTGAAGCACCACTACAATGTTGCCGAAATCGAGTTCCCCGAGCCTTAGGAAGAGGAGGTCGCCCCTCTAAAGACGAACAGAAAAAGAAAGAGTGGCGAGAAGGAGATCGGGGGGACCTCTGCCCCTCCGGACGCCGAGGAGGTGACCTCCAAGGCTGCCGATGCTGACGCGGTGGATCTCACCGGAAGTCCGCCGCCCAAGGAGGCTGCTCGAGTGGCCACTGAGGAGATGGCGTAGGTCGCTGAGCCTGTTGCTCAGGCTGCCAAGATGGTGACCCCGGCTGCTGAGCAAGTCGTTCAAGCCGCCGAGGTAAGTGCTTGCTTTGTGGCTTTTCTTTTATGTTGCGTTCTGGTTGAGCTTTGTTTTAAAAGGAGGTTTTAATTTTTTGCTTGATTTTTTGCAGGCAGGGAATGCTGCTGAGGTCCCGGTGCCTCCGAAGTCGGATGCGCGAGGCTTGGATCCTTCCATTGCCGAGAAGGGGGCACCTGCTTCTGCTTTCGCTGAGGTCCACGGCAAGGGGCCGAGTTTCGAAGTCCCAACCTCTACACCAACGACCTCGGTGCCGTCGTCTGGCCAGGCGAAGGGGGCTCGAAGAAGCCAATACCTCGCCCAGCGCTTCGTAAAGGGCTCCTCCTAGGTGTGGTTAGACCATGTGAGCGCCTCGGAGGACGTCAACTCTTTGTGGAGTGCGGGGGTTACCTCAGAGAAGTTCTTCTCCCGTTCCTCGCTGAGCACGACTGATCAAGCTATGATCGAGTCAGTCGGGCTGGAAAAGGTCTGGATGCTGCTGAGGTCTTCTTACAGAGAAGCATGGCCATTGTGGATCACTGGAAGCACAAGTGGGCCAAGCAGCAGAAGGACCTTGAGAAGATGAGGGCCCGCTTTTAGCCATTGGAGGAGGAGAACCGGGCTTTGAAGGTCACCCTTAGCGAGGCCAAGGGGTAGAGTGAGGTGGTGCTCCGGGTTACAAGGGGAGATCTCTCGAGGGTTCAGAAGTCTTTGGAGATCGCTTTGCGGTCGAATGAGTCTTATGCTTCCCAGGTGAGTGAGCTGTAGGAGCTTGCCACTTCTTCCCGGGAACGGGTGCGTTCTTTGGAAGATGAGGTGACGTCCTCTCGAGGTCGGGTGCACTCTTCCTGGAAGACGAGGTGACGTCTCTGAAGGCGAACCTGGTGGCAGCGGCCGAGAAGCGTCTTTGTGACGAGGTGCTTCTTGGTGGTAAAGAGGAGGAGGTGGCCGCTTTGAGGGTGGACCTTGCGAGGCTGAAAGTGGCGAGGGTGGGGCTGGAGAAGAAGCTCGAGGAGACCGAGCGAGCTGTCGTCTTCAAGCATAAGAGGGGATTCCTTAAGGCAGCTCGCCAGGCTAGGCTGCTTGCTTTGGGGTTCGACTTCTCTGCTATGCACGTGGAGAAAGAAGTCCGCTTCGGAAAGCTGGTGAAGGAGGATGATCTCGAGGAGAGCTCTAGTCAAAACGCCTCCGCCTAGGCCACTTTTGTAATAGCCTAGTTTATTTTTATCTGTTTGATTTTTTCCTTTGGATTCATGTGTTTGACTCTACAAACATTGTTGTGTATATATATATATATATTTTTGCTTATTTGCTGTTGCATTTTTCTTTGTCCTCGCGTTTAGGCTTGATTTTTTCCTGTTTGCGCGATTTGAAAACACGTTCAGCAATTGCTGTGTATTTTTGTTCTTTGTGGCACTTAGACCCGATTTAAGACAAAGCGATTTGTTCCAAGGTTCAAATCCGACCATGGGTGAGATTGAGATGTTCCGCAGTGAGGTTCAAACTTGACCTCGAATGGATTATACCGAGGTTCAAACTCGACCTTGGATTGATTATGCCTAGGTTCAAACTTGACCTTGAGTTGTCTATTCCAAGGTTCGAACTCGACCTTGAGTGGATTATGCCAAGGTTCGGACTCGACCTTGAGTTGTCTATTCCAAGGTTAGAACTCGACCTTGAGTGGATTATGCCAAGGTTCGAACTCGACCTTGAGTTGTCTATTTCAAGGTTCGAACTCGACCTTGAGTTTTCTATTCCAAGGTTTGAACTCGACCTTGAGTTGTTTATGTCAAGGTTCGGACTCGACGTTGAGTTTAAGCGAAATGTATTTGGGGTTCGTACTCGACCTTGCTTAATAACGAGATAAGCCGGACCAATGGTTCGAATTCGACCTTGGCGTATAGTAAAACGTGTTGTGTTAAGGCTCGAACTCATCCTTAACTAGGGGTAAGATAAGTCGGACCAAGGTTCAGATTCGACCTCGGCGTCAAGTAAGATAAGTTTTGTCAAGGTTCGGATTTGACCTCGGCCTAACATGAAATGTTTTATGTTATAATGACTTAAAGCTAGGAGAATGTAAATGAAAAGAATTAGTTATTTCATTAATTGTGTAAATGTGCCTCGTTAAAAACCCTCTCAACCAAAACCCATTTTTCTATTTTTTGGGATAAAAAGTTGAGACGGGAAAAGAGTGCACAACTCATTTGTACAAATTTAACTGATGTAAAACTTGAGATGCGTGGCATTCCAAGTTTGCGGTATGGACTATCCGCTGAGTTCCTCCAGTCGGTATGCTCCGTTTTTCAAGTCTTCTACAACTCGGAATGGGCCACCCCAGGTGGGTGCAAGCTTTCCATCTGATGTGTCTTTCTGAGCTTCGCGTAGCAAACGCCACACCAAGTCGCCAACTCGGAAAGAGCGAGGCCGTACTCGCGTATTGTATCTTCTGGAAGCTCGGAGCTTGCAGGCTTCTTCGTGGATTTGAGCTTCGTCTCTGAGCTCGTCAACTAGGTCGAGGTCGGCTGGTAACTCTCGAGCATTCTGCTCGCTGTTGAAGACTTGGCGTCGGTGAGATGTCTCTCCGATTTCCACTGGAATCATTGTGTCAGCTCCGTAAGTCAGCCTGTAAGGCGTTTCTTGCATTGTTGACTGGGGGGTGCAATGGTATGCCCAGAGGATGCTAGGAAGTTCCTCAGCCCATTTCCCCTTGGCGTTCCCGAAGCACTTTTTGAGTTCTCGGAGTATCACCTTGTTAGCTGCTTCGGCTTGACCATTAGTTTGCAGATGTTCCACTGAGGTCGGAAGATGCTTGATTCCGAGTTCCCGAAGGAAGTCTTCGAAGTCCTGCGCGATGAACTGTCGGCCGTTATCAGTAAGAAGGGAATAGGGTATCCCGAACCTGCATACGATACTCTTCCAGGTGAATTTCCGTATATTCTCAGTGGTGATCTTAGCGAGTGGGCATGCCTCGATCCACTTGGTGAAGTAGTCGATTGCCACCAGGAGGAACTTGAGCTGACCCTTCGCTGGGGGGAATGGTTCTAGGATGTCCATTCCCCACTAGGAAAAAGGCCACGACGACATCATCTGGTGAAGAGTTTCAGGTGGTTGTCGATGTGAGTTGTCGAACTGCTGGCATTCTTTGCACCTTTGTACGTAGTCCTGGCAATCTGATTTTAAAGTGGGCCAGTAGTATCCTGCTCAGAGTACTCTGGTCGCCATTGAGCGTGCCCCGTAATGCATGCCACATATGCCTTGGTGGATCTCCTCGATGACATAGGCCGCTTGAGGTGCGGTTAAGCACTTGAGTAGTGGGGTGGAGATGCCACGCTTGAACAGTTCGTCGCCAACGATCCCGAACTTGGCCGACCTCAACATCACCTTCCGAGCTTCGTCCCTACCTTCCGGCAAAACTCCTTCCTTCAAGTAGCTCCAAATGCCCATCATCCATCCCTGGTCTTCACTGCCGCTAGTGTTGACGACCTTGTCGTCCAGGCTGGGTGAGTGCAAGGTCTCCTAGATGATGGTCCGATGTTGTCCGGGGCGTTTGGTGCTGGCGAGCTTTGATACCAGGTCGGCTCTGGTGTTTTGTTCATGCGGTACATGCTGTATAGTGAACTCGTCGAAGGACGAGATCTGCTATGATGCCATGTGGAAATACCGCTGTAGGAGAACATCCTTGGCCTGGTATGTTTCGCTGAGTTGTTCTACCATGAGTTTCGAGTCGCTGTTGCAACTCACTCTTCGGGCCCCGAGGTCGCGAGCTAGCCTCAGTTCTGCGAGAAGCGCCTCATATTTCGCCTGGTTGTTGGTCACCTTGAAGCTGAACTTGCGGGATTGCTCCACAGTGACCTGTTTCGGTCCTTCCAAGATGATACCTGCCCCGCCACCTTTAGAGTTGGAGAACCCGTCAACGTGTAAAGTCCATACGTGCGGTTCTTCGGCTGAGTTAGGTGTGAGTTTGGCTACGAAGTCAACGTGTAAAGTCCATACGCCGTGACTTTCGTACTAGATGTTGAACTCGGATAATTCTACCGACCAGGCTATCATCCGTCCGGCGAGCTCCGGCTTCCTCAAGATCTGCTTGATTGGGTAGTCGGTTTTGACGACCACCTGGTGACTCTGGAAGTAAGGTCGGAGATGCCTGGCTGTCGTGACAAGTGCCAATGTGAGCTTTTCGATGGTCTAATACCTTTTCTCCGTGTCTTGGAGGACTCGGCTGATGAAATAGATCGTCGTCTGTGTTTTTTGGTGCTCTTGCACTATGACCGCGCTTATTGCGCTTTCTTCCACCGCCAGGTAGAGGAGGAGGTCGACTTTGTGATCCGACCTCTGAAGGATTGGTGGAGTAGTGAGGAAGGTTTTGAAGCTTTTGAAAACCTCCTCGCATTGGTCTGTCCATTCAAAGTTCTTCGGCTTCCGCAGCAGGGTGAAGATGGTCCCTACCTTGTCCGCCAACATGGGGATAAAACGGGAAAGGGAGACCAACCTTCTTGCCAGATGCTAGACATCTTTCACGGTCTGGGGACTCTGCATCTGAATGATGGCTTTGCACTTTTCTGGGTTGGCCTCGATCCCCCTGCTAGTGATCATGAAACCAAGGAACTTACCTCCCTGGACACCGAAGATGCACTTCTCTAGATTGAGACGCATGTTGTGTCTCCTGATCTGGCCGAACACCTCAGCAAGATCGGCAGCATGGTCCGCGGCCGAGGTGGTTTTGACCACCATGTCATCAACATATACTTCCATGTTACGCCCGATCTGCTGGTGGAAAACTTTGTCCATCAGCCGTTGGTAAGTGGCCCCTACGTTCTTGAGACTGAAATGCATCACTCGGTAGCAGTAATTGGCGTGATCGGTGATGAAGGATGTATGCACCTCGTCAGGTGGGTATATCATTATCTGGTTGTACCTGGAGTAGGCGTCGAGGAAAGTGAGGAGGGCATGCTTGGACGCTCCATCGAGAACCTGTCAATGCTCGGCAAGGGGTATGAGTCCTTGGGGCATGCTCTGTTCAAGTCGGTATAGTCGACGCACATCCGTCACTTTCCTGAGTTCTTTTTTACCTACACCACGTTTGCCAGCCATGTGGTGTACCTGACCTCACGGATGAAGCCAACGTTCAGCAATTTTTATGGCTCGGTGAGGATGGCTTCCCGCCTTTCCCCCCCGACCTTCCGCTTCCTCTGAGCCACGGGTTTCTCCTCCTTGTGAATTGCTAACCTGTGACAGATGAAGTTAGCGTCTATACCTGGCATGTCGGCACTAGACCACGCAAAGAGGTCAGCGTTCTTGGAAATTTTGGCCTCGATCTGTTACCGTAACTCCGGGCTCAACTGCCTGCTAATCTTCGTGCATTGCCCCGGGAGTTTTCCGATTTGGAGGTCATCGAGCTCGTCGATGGGACTTGGTCGATCATCATGGGAATCGGACCTCGGGTCGAGGTCAGTGATCTCCACGTGGTTGATGTGAGCCACTGTAGGAGGATTACTCTTGCATCGCTCGCCGAACGAGGAGATTTTCAGACTCTCGGTGTAGCACTGCCGAGCTGTCTTTTGGTTTGCCTTGACAGAAATAATCTTCCCATCACTCCTTGAGAATTTCATGGTGAGGTGTGGGGTGGACACCACTGCTCTGAGTTGATTCAAGGTTGGCCTCCCAATAATTATGTTGTAGGAAGTGTTGGCTTCCACGAGGAGGTATCGGACCATAATCCGCCTTGTGTTTGGAGAGGTCCCGAAAGTTGTCAGCAGGTCCACGTATCCCCGAGTGTGTACTCGCTCTCCTACAAAACTGACTAGGGGCTCTGTGTGAGGTTGGATGAGAGTGAGGGATGTCTAACTTGAGGAATGTCAGCCAATATAGGACGTCAGCCGAGCTCCCTTGGTCGATCAGTGTCTTGTGGACCTCCCAATTAGCTACCTCCACGGGGATGACCATGGGGTCATCCTGGTTGGGGCTGACGCCAGCGTAGTCGTCGTTGGTGAAGGTGATGGGCGATGAGCTTTGGTGCGAAGCCGAGGTAGTGGAGTGGACGCTGTTGATATTGCGCAAGTGTCTCTTCCAGGCCGAGCTGTTGGCGCCTCTCCCTGCGAAATCGCCTGCAATTATGTTGATTACTCCCCGTAGGGGAGCCGACCCTGTTTCCTGGCTTTCCTCGGTTTGCACTGCTCCACTGGTGTTCTGCTGAGAGCCAGAGGGTTGGTCCGTGCGAGCTCCCGAACCACGACCTTTGCCTCGTCCTCGTCCACCATAGCCTCCCTGGTGACCTTGCTGTCGTTGGACATATTGGTCGAGGTGGCTTGCCTGTATGAGTTCCTCAATACGGTCTCGGAGTGTGCGTCACTCTTCAGTGGTGTGACCGTGGTTTCTGTGATACCGACAGTGCTTGGACTTGTCCGCACTGTTGGGAGTGTGACCTGGTTGTGGTAGGGTGAGCAGGTTGCTGTTACTGGCCTCCTCTAGGATGTGAACTCGGGGCGTATTCAGGGGAGTGTAGAAGTTGTATCTCCCCCCCTTGTTTGTCCGAGCAGTTTTCTTGAACTGGTTTTCGTTGGTGACCTTCATCTTGTCTTTGTGGCTACTATCAGGTTTTGCTTGTGATTTTCCGCGAACCTGGTCACGGAAGGCAGAATGTTCCTCCATTTTGATGTACCCAGCAGCATGGGCACGGAGCTCGTCCATATCGCGAGGGGCTTCACGACATAGACTATCGACGAACGGTCCGGGCTTGAGTGCCATGAGCATGGCGTGTAGAGCGACCTCGGGATTTAGATTCTGGATCTTTACCGAGATGGGGGCGAATCGTTCCATGAACGTCCGGAGTGCTTCGTCGTCACCCTATCGGAGACTGGCCAGGGCAGCTGATGTTATGTGATGAGGTCGGCTCGTCGCATACTATGCTGTGAACTGTCTGACCAGGGTGTCGAAGCTGTTAATTGACTCAGCAGGTAGCTGGGTGTACCAGTTGAGCGCGGCCCCTTTGAGCGAGGTCAGAAAAACCCTACACAGAATAGCATCGTTATTGGTGTAGAGGTTTACCTGTGTGGTGTACAGGTCGATGTGCTCGTCTGGGTCCGTTGTAGCGGTCGAGGTGGAAAGGCTTCCATTCAAGAGGGAGTGGCGTCTCCGTAATGCCATCCGCAAAAGGATGACGGCGGAAGGTTGGTTGATCCCCTACGACATGAGTAGGAGCATTGCTAACCTCATGGGCCGATTTGTGCGTCAGTGCATGAGACCAATGCGTGGCGGGCCGTGGAGTCGGTGCCCTAGGCGCAGTTCGAGGTTGAGAGACCGAATGCCCTTCTTCCTCGTGCATGTTGCTCGCCTGAGGAGGATGATCAGAAGGGCGTCAAGGGAGCTGGGCGCGAATCCGCTCGTTCTCAGTGCGCAGCGCCGCTAGGCCAGCCCCATTAGCGGTCTGCATCGATGCTAGGTCAGTTTCGTGCTTGGCACGCATGCTTTGTAGATCGGCATCGTGTTGTTGCCGCATCTGTTCGACCTGGTCGATCAATCTCCTCAATGTGGCTTCGTTATCCATGGCAGCTGTGTGATCTAGGTCGCCTATTGCGCGTCTGCTATGGCTTCTAGTCCAAACCATAAGCGTGGCCGATAAGAGTTGGCTTGATCGGCCCCACGGTGGGCGCCAAATGTTCTTACCGGAGATCGGTGGTAGGGACGATCTGCTGGGTAAGATTGGTGAGCCTCCTTCACGGGTACGTCTCGTGTTCCAAGATGGGGGTGGTACCTGCAAAAGAGACTCCGATGCTAAAGTTAGTGTTTGTGGGAGTATTAGTCTCTTATAAGTAATGCACGTACCTTGGTGTGAATTAGGGTTTCTTTGGGCCTTGGGCCTAAGATCAGTTATGATTTGATTAGATAGCGGATCTCGTCTAGACCGAGATCCCCCAGCGCATGTCCGAGGTCGTCCTGCGCTGTGATACCGAGAGCTCGGCATGGCGGTACGGATAGTACAATTAGCCTTACAATGTTGGGAGACACTTCATTCCATATATATAGAATGATGTGCTTACTATGTTGGTTAAATTTTTATTAGGGACCCAAAATGCAAATTCAATTTGCAGTCTTGGTCATCTTTTTCTTCAACCCGCTCCCACCCTTTCCAACGACTACCTTTGTTTTGTTTAATGACATCAGAGTGCTTCGTACCTCTTCGACAACTTTAGAACTCCGGAACCACCTTGTGTCTCGCAACCTGTCTCCTACTTCACACCCTTTCTAGCAATGTCAATGCTTTGTGTTTCTATCTTTTTTGGTTACATTTTTTAGTTTTTCTTTTATTCTAATGTTAACTGTATTTGTTACCATATATTTTTGGTGTTATTTGAATTTTCACTACTAGAAAATTACTATTTAACGTCGCTACATTTACATCGGTTCTTCAAAAACCGATGTAAAAAATATATGCGGTGGCAAACTTGTAAATTAATAGAAATTTTAAGCACATTTACATCGGTTATTCTTAAAACCGATGTAAACATGAAGTATTCTACATCGGGTGTCCTTTTAACCGATGTAGAATAGTTAAGCAATTTATCTCCTCCCCGCGTGCGCTGTACAATACCTTTAGCGCCTCTGCAAACTTTCGCACACGTTCGTCTCCACTAAAAGCACAGTACCTTTAGGGCGGTGGCGGCAGTGCTTCACCTTCTGCCTTCCCCTCATCTCCTAAGTCTTTTAGATCTATCGATGCACCGAGAAACTCCCCTTTTCACTCTTCATGTGCTTCGCTCGGCTTTATTTATTTAGGGTTTATTGCCTATAAGGTTACGAGTTCACAAATAAACTCTAAACCCTGCCACTTCTTTTCTTCCTCTTCCTTCACCAGGAATCGGCTAAACCCTACCATCGGTGAGTGCCGCCGAACCACTTTCGCTTCCTGATCTATAATTTAGGGTTTCAATTCCAAAAGGAAATTGTTCTTTTCTGCTTCACTCTTTTTTTTTTTTCATTCTTAATATCGTTGTTTAAACGAGCTGTTTGGTGCCTGTTGTTTGATTCCGGAGTTTGTTACTATGGTTCCTCAACACGATGATCTTTTGGAGCGTGTCGGCGGCGATGAAGCGCAAGTTCATTTGGTAGGGGTTGTTGGAGGCGATGAAGTGGAAGGAGACGAGAGGGACCGTGAACAGGGCCACGAAACGGTTTATGCTTGAGCATTGGTCCGACGAGAGATTTTCCACCATTTTATTAATCAATATCTCTTCCATTCTCTTGCAATATAACCTTGCTACTTTGTTGGAATGGGATTACAACATGTAAATGAAGAATGGTTCTTTTCTCCTCTCGTTTTTCATAATCTAACTCCAACTACATCTAACTCTGTTGTGCTGAGGAGACTCATGAACATATAGAAAGACTGATTTCTATTTGAAAAAAAAATGTAATTATAGTTTGAAGATTGTATATGCTGAAAACCTCTTTTGTGAACCACAGATTCATTTTTAGATTATGTGTGTAAAAAGTGTAACAGAACTATCCAACTGATCCTGACCCCTTGCATTTTCCCTGAAATTTGAATTTGTTCCAGGTCAGAGTTTGTAGGGAGAAGACAAGTGGACATGTATATGCAATGAAGAAGCTTAAAAAATCAGAGATGCTTCATAGAGGCCAGGTTTACAACATTGATCTGGCTAAATTTTGTTATTCTGGTTATTAGTAGTTTAAGTGCGTATGGTGAATAAGGCCATCATACTTAATCCCATTTGTCAATTTTTCAGGTTGAGCATGTTAAAGCTGAAAGGAATCTCCTTGTAGAGGTTGAGAGCAATTGCATTGTCAAACTTTATTGTTCTTTTCAGGATGATGAATATTTGTATCTTATTATGGAGTACCTACCGGGTGGGGATATGATGATTCTACTTATGAGAAAGGATACCTTGACTGAAGATGAAGCCAGATTTTATGTAGGAGAAACAATTCTGGCCATCGAATCTATACATAAACATAATTATATACATAGGTATTTACATGTTCATTTACTTTCAGAGTAGTCCTATTTCCTTAGTTATACCCAATACATTTAACTTCTTTTTGTAGGGTTAGCTTCTAATTGAGTCTGGTATAACTTTGAGCTAATTTCCAGAATATCTGTTATATTTGTGAAGCTTATTGTGAGCTAATTTCCAAAATATCTGTTATAATTGTGAAGCTTATCTATTATAACTTTGAGTCTATTATTTGCTTCTGCCTTTTTTTTATTCCACTTGATTTTGAAAAATCAATCTTTTAGTAATTGAAACAGGGCCATGGCTTCCGAAAGGACCTTTTCCAAATGGTGGCAGATTTGAAACCAAAATTTCTCAGATTTCTAGGCATGTCAAAATTCTAAGTCTTCAAATTGAGGTTTGCATGACCCAACTCACTATTCTATTATTGATATATGCTACCTAGCTGCATGATTAGGACCTGTTTCAATTATAATTACAATCAATTTCTTGCAATATTGTGTTACAATTTTTTTTTAATATTTTTTATGATTAAGGATAAGTATAAACTTTTTTAGTGTTTAATAATTAATTTTATTTCAATACTTTTACCGAAATTTTAAAACATGAATTAAGGGAATCTTCCAAGTTCAACTCTTTCATCTCCTAAAGTATATATACTTTCAATTTAGAACAATTCTAGCACAAATACGAAGTTTATTAAATATGTTTAATTAAAAATGAAAGTAAAATATAAAAGTAAAATTAAATAGAGATTAATAAGATTTTTTCTCTTTTGAAAATCTATGATTATGTTTCCATATTTGGCTCTTGCTGTTTCTATTTCATAAAAAGCAATTAGTTTTGTATTTAAGTTAACAAAATTACATTTTTAAAGGTAAGTCGGATTTAAATTTTACACCTCACACTTGCGCGTACACGTATATATATATATATA